ATCAAAGTTCACCTTTCTGTCTACATATTTACTTTCTGCTTCATCAGTCTGTGGGCTCGGCATTTTCTCTCAGAGGAGTCGACCTTATTGAGGTCGTTGTGAGAATCCTTCTATAGACATGGTGCACCTTGGGCTCTCCCAACTTCACCAGACCGATCCAAATGCTAGCGGTAAACTCGTCCATTCTTGGACGAAAACAGGCTCCCACTTCTCGGAGTTTTTCGGCATTTCTTTTGGGTTTTCAAAAATGCACCATATGACACCTTTACCTTCACATTTCAACAGTATCAGCTCATTGTTGCCTTCAAAAAGCAGTTTTACCACATCACACAAACTAAGCGCATTGATCCATATCAAATCAGTCACCAATGCTTTTAGCCTATCGTTTTCATTGTTGCGATGTATTATAATGTGCGTAATTTTAAGTTGATCATCAATTTCCACAACGATCGAAATGTGAAAATGGTTTTGGTTCGACCACAGCATCCCGATGTTGTTAAACATGTAGGTGCTGATTCTAATGGCAAGGTTCTTCTCTTCAAACGTGGTGAATCGGCGCCTGTTTGGAGCAGCTCGTGAGTAGTCTTTGATTTCCTCGGGATCTGAGCAAAGTGGACCATGTGTCACTCATGTGATTGTGAATTCCTGGAGTGTTAGCGCTAGAATCCAGGGTTCTCAACTATACTTGGGCTGCAGGCGATGTTGATGCATATTTCAGAAACGAAGTGACTTGGTTTGAAGCCCACGAAAAAATTAACGAGTTTATATCCGACGCAAACGCAATCCCCCCAGCGCCTGAAAAGGTATCTCTACTTTTTATCGATTTTATTTCTCGTTCCTCATGTACTTTTTCCAGGCTGTTGGTGTGGAGCCTCAGGCACCAGCTCCGACTGCAAACGTGGACATGACGCAGTATCAAGTGCAGCTTGTTGATTTGAAGAGCACCATTAGTTACATGTTATTCAAGGTATTCAATTGGAATTTTAATGATTTTTTGTTCGTAGAACATTGCTTATTGGTTATTTATCAGGAAATTCCGCGCCGAGCAGTTATCGATGGCGAGCACCTAGTAGCTTTGAAGCAGTGGTTGCGAACCTTGTCCAAAGTTAGTTAAATGATCTCTTTTTTTGTTTTCTGACTGAAGCAGCTCCCTATTTCTAGTATGCACCCGGTACAACCCCAATGCGACGATTCCTTTATCGAGTAAATGAATGGATCTGGACCGTAGGAGACAGTCTAGCAATTGAGGACTGGACTAAAAAGCTTCAGGAGATCCAAGTGAGAATATTCATGGTTTTTGGGCTACACATATCTTCCTCTTTTTTTACTGCACCTGATTAAGTGTTTGTTTACCTGCCACTTTTTTTGTTTATGTTATCCCTGCGTTATGTCTACAGCCGTAGATTCGTGATTTAGGTCGCTCTTGGCAATCCTATACCGGAGAAAGTAGAATGGATAGCCTGCATTGGTTCGAAACCTAATTTGAGAGGCTACACATGTGGGCTATGGACCATGGCTCATGCGATCACTGTTGAAGCTTACAAAACAGAGGAAAAGAGTGAGTTCTCGAAGTGAACAGTGACTCGAGTGGTTGAGTGGAATAAACAAACGTACCAATAATAGCAGTTTGCTCAAAATGTATTAAATCTTCAGACCCGTCATTCAACCCAGTTAATGAAGTGATGGAGCCTTTCCATCAATTTATCTTCCATTTCTTGAGCTGCGGTGAATGTGCAAAGAACTTCGATAACGAGGCCAAGAGACACAAGTTGCTACAGGTGTCTACGAAAGGTTAGTTGATGTTCTGAAGATTTTGTAAGTGGTATCTGTAAGTGAGTCTAGTTTACCGCACTTCTGTAGGAATATGTAAGTGAGTCTAGTTTACCGCACTTCTGTAGGAATATAACTTGCAGAAGAAATGGTAATGTGGTTCTGGCGAGTTCATGAACTTGTCTAACGAGGTAGAAATTATGGAAAAGCTAGGCGGTTATCGGATACCGAAGCGATGATACAGCGCATTCACCTCACGACTTCCGCCATCAGTGACTAATGGGAGTTCATACATAATCCTTGTTTCTTTCTGTTTCTGTAACGTAAAATATTTTATCTCATATCAAACAAATTTATGTCTGGTGTATTAATTTATGTCACGATCCTCACCGATTTTTGCTTTAGGAACATAGTGTGGTTCCGCAAAAGTATGACACCTTCCGGTTTTTCGATTGAAGACGGAAATTTTCAAAGTTTTAGTTTGAGCTAACTAATAGCGATCTTCGGCAAGACACAAATCTGGGTACAAAAGGTATGGCTGTCAAGATGTTTTCTTGATTATGTTTGACCGAAGTATTACATGTAATTTGAAATAACCACTAATTCTTCTATCAAGTGACTATGCTAGTTCATTCAAGAGCGTAGGTCAAATTTCATTATTTTGTACATATGGGGTTCTGTGCTTGTGATTACTGGTTTCGACTAAACGTGAATTTATGAGTGAAGTAGATTCCGGTCACATATTTCTAGCCCCATACGAGGGCATAGAGGGTAGGACTAAGTAGATGATCACTATTAATTAATTAGGAATGTCGTGACGAATAACCAGTGTGATGCTACTTCGTCTTTCATTAGACTGGTTAAATGTGTTAATAATGGCTGGCAATCGTTAACTACTCTAAGTTTGGGTTAATTCGCTATCTACACACGTGTTGCGAGCAGGTTAGGACTCAGTGTATAGACTCGCTCGTCGCTGAATCCTCTCATATTTTGTTTTTCGTTTACTACTCGTCTAAATCCTGAGCACAATTAAAAATCGTTTAATATATAAGGGTCAACCTGCCTACATATTGATATCGGAATATAAGGCTATGGAACCTCTCAGGCCGTTGCAGAGCTCGTCATCGTAAAATCCAATAAGTATTCTGTTCACAAACAATGGAAACAGGTAACGTACATTGGCTGTATTTTATTTCTTCCGTGAATTTACTTCTTAACAGGTTGATAAAATGGAGGAAACGGAGGAACGGTTACGAAAGGTGTGGGATGCAAGTCCACAGAGGGAGTGGAAAGATATCGAAGGCTATGGTGAGTTTGAGAAATTTTAGATGACAGCGTTAGTCATGGATTCCATCTTTACTAGTATTTTGAAGCAGATGGGGTTCATCCGTGATCCTACACAAATCTGAAGCAAAAAAGGGTTGTGGTGGTGAACTCCTCGTTACTTTTTGACATTTTACCTTCCAGATATGCAACGGTACCCTTTTTGAGCGCAAACGTAATGTAAGGTGTACAAGGGTCGAGAAATCGTTAGCATGACAGCACCTTACCTTATGCAACAAAACTGGTTGATGAAATCCCTAAATTTTAATTTGTATATGTTGCTGTATTTCAGAAAGTCTGGCTTACAACGGCCGATCACAATTCTTCTTTGTATGGTTATCAGTGATTGGAGTAGTAATCGTGCTCGCCTATTGTAAATATCGACGGAATCGATCAAAATTCTGGAAGACGTTCTACTATCACAGCGACTATAAACTGTGAATTTCGTCTCGTTTTGCATGCATTTTTCTTTCAGTCTTTCTCTTTACCGGTGCTATGTAGGAATTTTCAATGCCGTAGGCCTATTCTATATGCCAAAAAGTGTGTTTCGTTCAAGCAGAACGAAAGGAGAGGGGGGTAAGCTGCACCTTAGTTGCTCACTCAAATGCATGCTCTCATACCTTTGCCCATTTCATACCTAGGGTACAGTGGCGTTCATGACCTCCACCATTCTTGAAGGTGTTATCCAAAGACGAGATGATTCATATCAGGCGCGCAATGTTAAGTCCATTGTCATTAAAGCCTGAACATAGTCAGCCTTGTATAATATTTTTTGCAGGCCGAATCCATTAGCGTTTGAAAGAGTATTTTTAATTAGAAGCGCGTATAAGCCCCGTGTCTTTTTTCATAGCGATTTTGGCTCCACATACGTCGTCGATATGTTTACGTCTTATTGCGTCTTATCCTCATAATGCTAGCAAACTTGACGCTTTACCGCGGGATTGTGAAGCTATGTAATGGAGCAAAGTGCGATGAATTGGGGCTATATAATATCCTCTCCTTGTACGTCTATGCATGTGTGTCTTTGTATGTGGAACAACATATAGCCGTAGTTGTCTGAGGGCGAGGATAGCTATGGCTCCGCATCGTATCTGCTCATTCAAAGCAAGATGAGCCATTCGTCGAGGAGATTTGTGAGCCGATATTCCCCTTCTCTACTTCCAGTTGGGATTCCACTGACGACCTCTTTTGTTGGGAATTCCCGTAATACTTTCCAAATTTCGGTATCGGGAATCTACACCTCACTAAGTTCTTTCCTAGTTGTGCCGGAGATCCACTAGGATTTCATAAAACGCGATCTCCTTCCGCGTGTCGATGAATCCTCGACGTTGGCTCACCCTTGGACCATAAGCTTGCCTATGCTCAGCTATTTTGGGACATTCGCATATTCGGCTTTGCAGATGAGGAAATTTCTTTGTATTGGATGGTATCTTGAGGAGGGCCGCTTATGAGAAAATCTTGAACATTAATTTATTTGTTGCTTGTATTTCATGTTCCTTTTTATGTTTTCGTCAATTACTAGTTGCACATGTACTTTATGTGATCTTGAGAAGGTTGTGGCCTCACTTTAGTTACGGTCACCTTTGCACCTTAATTATCTGTGATAACGAGGAAATCTGTGGTGCGTGTGTGTGACGTCTTGGTGATGTCGTATGCTTTTTCACAATGAATATTTTGACTGCACTCTTTTTTGGGTCGAAGAAGCGGTTGTGTGGAGGCAATGTAGAGTAGTCGCTTTAAAATGATTAGAATCGAACTAGAATCCCGAGAAACTCCTTAGAAGTTCATTTGGTTCCATCTCCTTTTTTCTTAGCATTCTAGTTTGGACGAGCTATTCTTGAATCGACATCGCGTCTGCTACTTTCGGTCTATTTTTGTAATTTCAGATTCCCTTGGTCATCCGAAACCACAACGGAGAAAAAATACACTGCTTAACCCTATAACAAGTAGCTCTTAGTAATTATTGTTGTTGTTAATAAAAATTGTCTTCACTATTCAATATAATCCTTTCATGTATACTTAGATTTTTTTCATTGTGATATACTCTCCACTATCGGTGTCTTTGGGTCGTGCATCTACTTATTAGTTATTTGAAATGGATTTCTTTGGGTGTTTCGGAGATTTGTTTTTGTTTCTCATTCATTGTCGTCATAATATTGTTATGAAAGAGTTTTATTTGGGTGTGATCAGATTTCGGCCGAGTTCACGGTTTCCCCTAATTTTATTTTCTTCATGAAATGTTACTCTCCGATGGCATAAGTTATTGTTTTGTTAAGGTTTTGTATGGCAAAATATTTACGGAAGTTTTTCACCCTTGCTCTGAACGACATCGCTAATCAAGTGAGATTAATACTGTGTATCCAAAGAGATTCAAGCTATTGATTGACAAGTGCTCTTTTTTCGATACAATATTAATTTCTGATTGGACGTCAAAAAATTAACATTTTCTCTCAGTATGCGATTCCTGTGAAATCTATGACGGGCTACGTCCTGACAAAATACTGTGCTAGGAAAACGGATTTTTTAAACAGAGCTGTCGTCGACAGCCTCAACATAGGAAAAGGTAATTTTCTTCTCCGCTATGGTTTTATTTCTTTAATGGTTACAGGGCATTTGTCATCCAGGGGGTGTCGAAGTAAAAGCAGACGTTCTTGTGGTAGTGGGACTAAGCCTTTTGAAGGAGGTAAAGAAAGCGGAGATTCTGTAATAGTGCGCTTGTGTGAGAGCTCCCAGACAGCACAACAAAACGCTGAATTGCCTAGCCTCACGGTTGACAGATGTCCGGAGACCTACTTCAATAATACAAAAGTTCGGTTCTTGCTTGTGCCCCGCAATGTGACGCGAAGAGGATGTCTTGAAGTAGGCCTTGAACCCCGGTTACGTGTCTATTTGGACTTCTCCCTATGCTCTCTGTCACGAAGGCTAGAGCGCAGACGGGTAGAGGACAACTGCGGTGGAAGGGTCTCCGGACATCTGTCAACCGTGATGCTAGGCAATTCAGCGTTTTGTTGTGCTGTCTGGGAGACAAGCGCACTATAACAGAATCTTCGCTGTCTATACCTCCTTCAAACAGGTCTTATATCCAATACGCATCAAAGCAACGTCAGTTTTCTTATACCACTCCACTCCCTGTGACCAGAACTGTACCCCGGTGGGAAGCCGCTTGGGTCATTTTTCAAGTTGTATCAATTAACCGTAATCATTTTCGTGTCTCATCCTCAACGCGCACGTGTGCACGTTTAAGTCGCTCTGGCGGAAGATCCAGTGTTTTGCGTAGGATAGAAAATCCCTCCGCGATGCGTGATCGGCTTTGGTTTCTGCTACTAATTAAGTAAATCTGGATACTTTGGGTCGTCTGTCGCGCCATATGCCCCCTATATATTGAGACCTCAATTTCGTTTGGAAATGAAATGCAATTAAAGAACTACGCTTCGACGTGGACATTGTTACTTCTCGAATGCTGAATGATTTCCAGATGAGCAAGCTTCAGCTCTCGAAATATTCAGTCGAAAAGTGGTCCACCATTGGTGGAGAACCTTTGACTACAGAACAGTGGTTGTTCTCTCACTACCAGGAGAGAGGTCTTTCAGAGGCAAGGTGCGCTTTTTGGAAACGGTTTAGTACATGTTGTAGGGACGCATGTATGGACCACAAAACCATGTTTCGTTTTCGCTGAACGGTTTTAGTAGTACCAAAAAAGTGGTGAATAATACTCTTGATGGTTCAATCCCCGCGGCGACTAAATTTTGCAATCAAGGTTGGCGGCCACTTGTTGGCTTCAAAATGGTCCTGACGATGAATTTGACATCTGATTTTGATATTTAGCGCGATTTGGCACCAAACCGTAGGCGCCAACCCAAATGCAAAATTTAGTCGCCACGGGGGATCGAACCCTTATTGTGTTTGCGTTCCCTGCATGCGTCCCTACAATATGCACAAAACCGTTTTGAAAAAGCGCACACTTTGCCCTGAAAAACCTCCCTTGTCAGGGCGTTTTTATTTGGTAAAAACAGATGTACAGGAAAGTATCAACAGCAATCGGTCAAAAATCGGACGGTCAACGCCAGATTCGGGTCAGCCTGTTGAAGACCATGAGGGGCAGACGTGAATGTCGTATCAACAACAATAATGGAACCCTATGGAATGTGATAACTTGCTGCACTCCGCTTTGTGGCCTCGCGGCCGAGAAAGTCACCGAGCGAAGGTCTGCGCTATTGTTCAATCAACTTCTCGCTAGGGAACACAAAATAGAATCCCGCAGCGAAAACATCTAGTGCGCGATCCCACTCTAGCGAGCTGGAACGGAATATTTGTAGGGCATGCGCGGTGCTGCCAGGCCATATCCAATAGTTTTAGGCCGATGTCAGACTTTGCGAATCGCGCGATTCGCTAGCGTCTGCGGTCGCGTCGCGGCCAGTGAATCACTCAATTGGCTGGTACCGCAACGCGACCGCGGACGCTAGCGAAATCGCGCGATTCGCAAAGTCTGACATCGGCCTGGGTGGTTCGGCTCCATTCTTCTTGAAACTGCGAGCCCATATGTGGCCTCCCATATACTCGCGATCGCGCTGCAGTTTTCGCTGGGATCATGTGCCGTAATTCCCTTTGCCGCAATAAGCTTTGAATATAAGTAGCGTGACAAAACCGCGTAGTGACTTCTTGTCACACTTGCCCGCACGATTGGCCGTCAAAGACGAGAAAATCCTGGCCAGACTGAAGCCGTTCTCTGCCTGTATAAAGTACGAACCTTTTCGTCAACTTCTGTCTGGTGTGAATAGTATCGCCGATACTCGTGACTTACTCAAATTCCACCCCGAGTAACTCGAAAATCGGTGAGAAGGGATGGTGTGATGAGTATAGTCACCTTTCTTTACCCTCCTTCTTCGTCTTCATCTCCCTAGCATTAGTCTTGCGCAGTCGCAGGGTCCGTTGTTTGTTGGTCGTCGGTCGCCACTTGGTTCTGTCATTTCGGCCTATCTTCTGCCTGGCTTTTATTCAGTGATATCATGGTTTCATGGTTCTTGCCCAGCCTTCATTCGCTGCCGTATAACATCGCGGGCTTTATCACTGCCCGATACCGGGGTCAACCGTCACGTTGAACCAATGCGGATAATTTACGACCCCCGCTCCTGCTTCATAGCCAGGCCCGATCCACGACCCCCCCCCCCTCAGGATTTAAGCATTTCCACGAACATGCGCTCCACCATCACCGGCCTTGCCATCGGAGCCATCATGGAGCGATTCTACTACGGATTGATTGCCAGCAGCTCCGCCTACTTTCCTCCAGACCGCACCCGTGAGCGACCGTATTCATCTCGAAATGTGAAACGGCAAAATTTTCGGCATTACCCCCGACCCCCTTGCTCGCACCCACTAAATTACGACCCGGCCCCACCTCCTCGTTGGACTGACTTTGTGTCCAACGGATGTTGACCCTGCCCGTACTCTTCCTACATTTATTTTAACACGTTGACGACATCGCGCGTTTTGGCATTTTTGGCCGCGTGGGACCAGAGCGGTTCTGCGAGCGCCGCCGCCTCACAACAAATCTGTGGATTTTGAGCTTTAAATACGCAATACTTCGATGCGACAAAATGTTTTCACTGATATTCGGTGTGTCAAACTTATTGGAAGGTACACATGTGAAAGTGCGGTCGAATGATGTGTTACAGCATTGAAAAGGCAAGTTTCACTTACTTTTGCTTTAGTGATTTCAAAATTATTTTGGACGTGGTTGTTTCGGTAAAAACACATATCTTGCCACACGAGTAGCTTTGTACTCACTTCTAATATTCTTTTTTATCTACATGTTCGTGTTAATGAAGAGAAAATGAGGAATGAACTGAACGGATATTTTCGTCCGGTCCGAAAAACCTCTGCCAAACTAAAGAATATTTGGTCATTCTATAAGCATGATCATTCTATAAGCCGCGTGGTTCTTGGTTATGTTGTGGTATGGCCTAGAAAATGAACACAAAAAACCTGGGAAGAAATGGCGCGTTCAAGAAAAAACTGAATGTAAAGGGTGTGGCAACTATAGTTGCCACAATGTCCATTGCGGCGTGCAAAACGCGGCAAACCTAGTTGCCGCGCTGTCGTCAAGGTGTTAATACCTTCGATTACAGAGGTCCTAGTGGGCTCTATCCAGTTCATCCATTCCGCTTCAATCCGAGCCTTCATTCGCCTCATCCACCGTGATTCATACCACCATCAACGGCGTAATAATCGATCCAGAAAAATTCTCCACTCTTTTAATGCTCTTTGCATGGCCATCCATGATCGGCTCTGTGTTCTCTCCAGAGTTCAGGCTCTCGGTCTTCTGCACATTTAGCTGGAACCACCAGCACTTCCTACCATTTCTGCTTCTTGCCATAAAGCTCTTCTCTGCTATTCACTGTCAAGGCGATTTGTTTGCGTAAAGAATGGTCTTAAGCGGTCCCTCCTCGAGCCGCTTCATCATAACAAGAAGTATTAGGCCGATGTCAGACTTTGCGAATCGCGCGATTCGCTACTAGCGATTCGCGCGATTCGCTAGCGTCCGCGGTCGCGTTGCGGTACCAGCCAATTGAGTGATTCACTGGCCGCGACGCGACCGCAGACGCTAGCGAATCGCGCGATTCGCAAAGTCTGACATCGGCCTAAAGGAGAATAGCGTTAAAAGTATAACCTCGTATAACCGCCCTTGAGGCAGACCCTTCTGATAGGCCCTTGGAGAGTGCGCTATCGACGCACAAGCCTATCTGGCATGTCTTTCGCTGGGATGATAAATGGTCGGCCCCACGTTGCAATCTTCTGATACTGTCGGCGGTGAGTAGAACGCTATCTCCCGTGGGGAACTAGAGGGTTTCACGGTTTTAATAAAAAAAAAAAAAAAAAAAAAAAAAAAAAAAAAAAAAAAAAAAAAAAAAAAAAAAAAAAAAAAAAAAAAAAAAAAAAAAAAAAAAAAAAAAAAAAAAAAAAAAAAAAAAAAAAAAAAAAAAAAAAAAAAAAAAAAAAAAAAAAAAAAAAAAAAAAAAAAAAAAAAAAAAAAAAAAAAAAAAAAAAAAAAAAAAAAAAAAAAAAAAAAAAAAAAAAAAAAAAAAAAAAAAAAAAAAAAAAAAAAAAAAAAAAAAAAAAAAAAAAGGGCCTGAAAGCTAATCGTGTGGACTATTCACGCATAACCTGAATGTTTTTGGACAACTCACCAGTTCCGGGCAGAACCTCGCTGTTCATCGTATGCGCAGATACAACTTGACGACAGAGACACTCCGCGTCTCCGGATCAAAGTTGTCGATTGCTGACACGCATAGCTTGTCCTGCGCAGTGCGTCAAGTGTATTCCCGCCTCACCGTGACGTTTTTGGCGGTTATCATGTCAGTCGATTTTCTGTGCCTGTTTCCTGAAAAATCTTGCACACTCTCTTAGTACCTGCCGCCTTTACAACTTTTGTTCACCATTCCCCACGTCGAACTTGGTCCCGAAGTATGTTGAGACCAGCCGTCGCCCTCTATTCTTCGGTTGAGTTTCGCGGGAGTTCTTGAATTGAATCAAAGCACTCTGGGATATTCTTGCGACCTCTCGTAAACTTCGACTGACTCCCAGGATAGCATCACTTTGGCTTCTTGCACCACTCAGCATCTCCCATTGAGAGAACGTTCCACCCATGGCGAGTGGGCTCCCCATTTACGACCTAGCAACACGGTGCACAGCTTCACCCAATTTTCCCAATCCTTAGCATCCTGGAACCGAATCAGAAAATTTTGCCCTTGGCGGCGCCAATATCGGCGCTCCACCCCCTCCCTCGTCACCGTGGGCGAGCTCCTGGCTTATTTGTGTTTCGTACATCTTCAGCCATGGTCCACCTGCCCCAAGCTTGACCCAGTGTCTCCAGGTAACTTTTCAGATACCGAATTCATAACATACGAACTGACGGACGAAGTGCTTTATATTTAGTAAGTAGGATCCATTGCCTTACTGCCGTTGTCCGCTTTGATATTAACAGAAGTTAAGTTTTCTTCAAGTCATGGGCTACGACCCTAAGCAGATTTTCAAACAAAACTAGACCGGGTTGGAGTGGTGTTCATGAGCTGTGATAACATAATATTTTGAGGATTTTTCAGATGACAACATCTTGGAACTTGGATACGGTCGTGGCAACGGTCTACAGTACTGTTTCGATCGAGTGGTGGACGGGGATGGTGCGGTGAGTCGATAAACTCGTTTTCATCGCGAGACATCCGAAAATTCCACCTTTTGTACTGCTTGCTGGTTCCCCTTCTTCTGTCACCTCCTCGTCCCTTTTTCAAGGGTTTGGAGTTCTTGTGATAGCTGAGCTTGTGAAAGTGCAGGTCATGAAACTTCGCATGAGAAAGCTGAATGAATGGCCCAGTGAGGCTTTCCTTTTTCAGGTCTTTGGAATTGATCGATCTTCGTATATGGAGGATTGTGCCCGGCATCGATTTGTCCTCGAGTTGGCGGAGACGACAAAGATTCAATTAGATCACGTAAGAGCTGTTTCCCTGCTGCAGGAAACTTTCACGCTGCTTTTGCTTTTTGTAGGCTCCTGACCTGCGAGATTTACCGTATCCTCCTGCGGTGTTCAATCACATTTTCCATGTCGATCTCTATTACTTTATTCATCAAGACCATATGTTTGATATTTGTAAAGAACTTCGTCGGGTGTTAAAACCAGGTGGAACAATGGTCTGTGGAATGCACTTTGGCAGGTAGGTGAATTCTTGCACTTTTCAGTGTTGTGTGCACAGGTGGTGTTAGGTTCACAGAGTTGTGTGCCGGCAGCTCAAAGGCGGACTTGCGATCAGGAGGCAGCCCACTAGAAATCGAAATATAGGTAATCTGTATACAGGATGGAGGAAAACTAAATACATTCAGAATCCGAAATTTGTGACCCCTTTTACCCTTTGATTTGTGTCTTCTTGGTGCTGACCGCATCCAAGCTAAACCGCTCTCTCTGCTAGGCGGCTAGAACCAGACGGCGAGGGGTGGGCGGTAGCGCCAATAAGGCCCGCGGGGAGGCCATGGTAGATCGCTGGATAATTTCCATCGCTGTGTGTATCGGTTCCACAGCCTCAGGGGTTCCGCCAGTTTCCACTAGGTAATTTCCCCTTCTTCGATTTTCGATCTTCTCGTGGAACCCTCCTTGAACTTCGTTCACGTGCGGAAGCGAGCGCTTCAGAGAACAGTTA